TTTGAGAAATCCTTATAATGTACCATTTTACTGTGGTTGTCTTCACTCTATTCATTAGGAGATTAAAATCAGAAAAACAGCAGTAAAAATCCCTACCTTAAAAAATTAAAAACAAAATTGGGGGAAGTGTGTAACTGTTGCAACATGTAGCATTTCACTATGCTTATATGTAAATGGCTCAGTCAAGTCAGTGAGGAGGAAATAATGTAGTAGGCAGTGGGACAAAGAACATAAAAAGCCACTAACCCAAAAAAAGAAATACAAATGGCAAACAATTATTGCCAATTTTTTCTAATTATTTGTCAAGGAAGTAAAAATTTAACATCTACATGGGCCATTGAAATACCAAGCAAGTATTTTACTAAACAGATATTCAAAACTGAACATATTTTATGCTTTTAAGTTTTGTTCAATGATAACCATCACACATGAAATTCAAATAAGTTGGTTTTACCATCTGGATAGTAAAGAGGTCTTATGAATACTTATATACACTGGCCTAATTATGAGTCTTTTATCCAATCCTCAAAAATCCTATGATTCTTTCCTTAAAAATTAAAATGTATAATATCACAGACTTCTTTGTGATACATTATAACCAGAGAAATTGAGAATAGCAAGGGAATAATTATTTACATGTTGTTGTACCCATATACTTTTCCCTTTAAAATTCATGAGTAATGTTTAATACCAGCTAAAATTTTAGGGGTATAATGTTAACCAATATAGGATAGATTTTAAATTGTATATGTGATTAGGAACCATCACCAATTACTCTGAGGAGATGCTTTTCAAAACATGTTTATATTTTCTGTATTTCCCAAATTTATACAGTGAAATTGTGTACTTAATAAGGAGAGAAAATGACAGGAAAACACAGAAGGGAAGAAGTGCCAGAACCATTAAAATCTTTATTATGGTAAACAGTTTGATAGTGTGTGTGTATCTAAACTCATGGACCTACTCCATCTAAACTCATGGACATGGATTAAGAATACTTAATCCAACTTTCTAGTTTTATAGATAAGAAAACTGAGACAAAGATGAGTGAAGTGAGACAAAGATTCCCATTAAAGATGGAGTAAAAAAGAAATTTGAAAATAGAAAAAATAAATTTGAAAATTTGAAAAAATAAATTTGAAATTGCCCAGGATACAGGTATTCTAGTACATTGTCCTAGTACATATTCAAAACTGAGAATAGCAATCCTTGCTTTCTATATTTATAACTGAAGTCTGAAAAAGAGAATTAAATAAAACAATGACTATGGGGGCCTGCCCGGTGGCGCAGCAGCTGAGCGCTGGGTTGTGAAGCTGCCCACAGCCTCTAAGGCGCCAGTTCGATCCCCAGCCGCCAAGCCAGGGTCCCACATGGCGCACAGACCTCTCCTGCCACCCACTGCTCCCCTCAGCAGTGAACGTCGTCATTCTGCCTGTTCTGTTCCCTGCTCTGGTGAATTCTCTCACCCTCCCGCGCCTCTGACTGTACCCAGTGCTTGTATAAATAAATAAATAAATCTTAAATAAATAAATAAATAAACTCATGGACACATCTAAACTCATGGACCTTCTCCATCTTTTAAACTACTTTTATTTGTTGTTTCTATATTCATGACGTTCATGATCAAGATTAAAAAAAAATGAGATTTGTGTTAAATTCTATTCTAGAGTTTTGTGATGATGATTAATGTTAATAGCAGATAAAGTTTAGAGACATTTCTATTTGACTTTTAAATGAATTTTAAGAATGTCTAATTTGTTGGAATATTTGATTTTGTTACTATTGCTTTGTATAGGCCTGGTCTAGAGAGAAACTGTATAGAACAAAATAAAAAATAAAATGGGTGGGAAGATTTTGTTTAAAGATGTTTCTAACAGTGTTATATTTTGATAGTAAAGATGAGTTAAGGTTGCTTGAAGTTTGGAGGTATAATAGATTGTTATCTGTCACTTTTCTACCAAAATAGTCAATATTCCTAATACGTCATGCAAATAACAGTGGATGTTCTATAGCAAATTTAATTTTATCACAATTCATTTAATTGTATTAACCCGTAAAATCTCCATGAAGTAGATTATTATTATCTGCAGAATATAGAATAAGATTATTAATGGGTAGTTACTTGTCCAAAATTATATGACATTTAAAAGTTCTAGCTGAAATTTAAATATTACCTATAGTAAATAATATATTTGAAGTCAGATTATACATTTAATTGCATGGTTCCTTTTAGAAACATAATCATTCATTATAACCAGTTGCCATTATAACCAGTTGCCAAGTGTTTTTAGCCACACTTGAAATCCATATTCCAATCAAGTATGTCCCTACCAACAAAAATTGAGAATGTTTTCCTTCTCTTCTACTGAAGATTTTTTGAATGTGTATTAAGTTCTGTATTTCTATACAGGATGGAGGGGGGAGTGTGTGTGTATGTGTGCATGCATATATAGATATAAAAATATTTATATTTTATATATAAAATATGAACGATTGAGAAATACTGGACAAATTAGTGAGTGGTGATTTAAGTTTGTGGAGTTCACATCTTTCAATTTAAACTCGAACCAAAGGATTGCATGTATGTTTGTTATTTATTGGTTTTCCCCGACATCTCCTTTTATCACTTACTGGAAATGGAGAAAGATAACATGGTCTGAGTGATCTTGGGATGGGACTTAGATAGGTGGTCCAAGGTAGAGAGAAGAGCTGAGGGAAATGTCTTATTATGGCATCATTTTAGGAAATAATGTAAGTCTATAGACTAAAGATGACTGGCCTCATCCCTTTGTTATATCTTGACCTTAGATTTATTGTACCTGATGATTACCTGTACAGGGGGAAATTCTGATACTCTAGAATTTGTCATTCTTTAAAAAAACATTAAAGTGAAAATACTGTGTAGAGATAGGTCTAGTTGAAAGGATAGAAATTTTAGATACACATTAAATCAATTCATTTTGCTTCTCTTTATTTTTAGAATGCAAAGAAAGGCACACTTTTTAGTCTTCAAGTGAGCTGAAAAATTCTGAAATTATGATTTTTTTTTCCTGCTACCAAATATGTCATGAATTTTTAATGCCTCATTTAAGACTTGTGAGCTGGGGTATGAAGCATTTTATTAGGCTTTTTTCTCTTAGGCTTTAAAATAGGAAAGAAAAAATAAAACTGGTCATTATTTCAGATGAATTAAAAGTGACTTTTTATGTAACAATCTACTAAAACCACCTACTAAAAATGTTTACAAATGTCCATGGTTAAGCATTTGAATTTTGCTAGCTATAAAAATTAAGCACAATTTCAATACTATAATCGCAGAATTGTTCATATAGATGGCAAGAGGTTTAACAAAGATCAATGCATTATTATCAAAAGGGCATTATTAAATTATCTAATCCTACGTGGAAATATTACTACAATTTAGGAAAACTCAGGAAAATAAATGTTAGGGTGAATTTTGTCCCAGTAACGAGTAAAGTTAAAACATATTTTTTCTTTCATGTATTACATAAAATTATTCTACTAAGCCAACTTACAGATACTGAATTGCCTCAAAATGAATTAGTTTGTAAAGGAGGGCAGTATAAAATCACCTTTAGGAAAATACAATATGAATTGTGCTAATCAAGGTCAGCTTCCAGTTGCCTTCACAAAACGGTTGAGTGTAATTGTCTGTTAGTGTCTGACTTCAAGGTTATGTCTAAATTTATTGACATTACTTTGAATTATTTGGCACCCTAATTGAAAGAAACAAAGATTTGACCATTTAGCAATGTCCGCAATAATATTCAGACTGTGAGGTATAGTCCAGAAGCTTATTTTAAAAAAAACTACAAAAGTGTGGGACAAGTCCATACTTCTTAAGTGTGGGTTGCATATAGTGACTAAGAGTTAAAGTAAACAGAACAGGGGAGTGAGGAAACCATTGACAATAAACATTTCAAAAACCTAGTGAAATTTTTGATTTGTATGACTTTTATACCAAATAGCATAAATATAAATGTCATTTATATAGACCCAAAACAGAGAAAGGGTCACCTATATACAAACTGAAGTATTTGTTACTGGCTTTTGATCTACCAGATGAGATGGAAGATCTGAAGTAGCATACGGGAATTCCCAGTTTTTAGCAGAAGTACAGACTTTCCTAGATTAAGTTCCGGAAGAAAGACATATAAAAAATTGGAGGGGAAAAACACATTTGAGCACAACCTGTGTATTTCTTTTTTTTTTTTTAAAGATTTATTTATACAAGAGCTGGAGTACAGGCCAGAGACATGGGAGGGTGAGAGGATTCACCAGAGACAGAGCGGGGAGCAGAACAGGCAGAAGACTGAAAATACTGCTGAGGGGAACATTGGGCAAGACAGGAGAGGTCTGCCGCGCCATGTGGGTGTCTCCCTGGCCGACCGGGAATCGAACTGGAGCTGCAGAGGTTGCGGACAACTTCACAGCACTGCGCTCAACCCACTGTGCCACCAGGGAGGCCCCAAACCTGTATATTTCAAATACAAATAATTTTTAAAACTGTCCCTCTCTTTCTGGTATAATTGGTTAGTAGGAAAGCGAACTGTGCTCTACGCCTATTTTCTATGGAACAGAATAATGTTTAGGTTGTAGAATGTATTGTAAATAAAATCAAAGACCTAGGAAGATTCTCTGATAAGTCGAGCAATATGCATTACTACATTGCATGTTTCTGGTTTCCTCCTAATATGCAATTTCTAGTAGAATGTCTGCATTTGATTGTTTTTTTTAACTATGGTTTTGCTGTTCATTTTTATTGGTCCCTTCTGCAAAATGTAGGAGAAGCTTACTCATTTTTGACATAATGCTACTGCCTTTGAGGGATAATGTGAGCTCTTTCCATGTATTTTTTAATCCGAGTAAACTGTCAACAAGTATTCTATAACATACCTTCTCAAAAGCACAGGTGTTAAGAACTGAAAAGATACACTTTATATAGCAAATAAACAACATCTTCCCTCTTTTTATTCTAGTGCACTGATAGGCAGAATTCACCAGTCACGTCTCCAGGATCCTCTCCTCTTGCACAAAGAAGAAAGCCCCATGCAGATCCTCTCCAGATCCCACATCTCAGCCTGCCACCAGTGCCTCCTCGCCTGGATCTCATTCAGAAAGGCATAGTTCGGTCTCCCTGTGGCAGCCCAACTGGATCACCAAAGGTGATTTTATTAGAAACACAGATAAATTTTCTGTAACAGTTATTGATTATTCTGGTCCTTATAAATCCCAATACTCATATTTCTTGTGTTCTTAATTGCTTAGGAATAACTTTGATGGGTTTCTCATTTATGTTTAACCCATTATCATATTCTTTACTATATACTATAAAAGTTAGGTAATTACAAAAGAGAGTACATGTCTGTAATAGCTGCCCAACTGCTAAAACAAATAGCAGGGTAGTAGAGTTACTCAGTAAAATGGATTTCAAAGGTCATCATAAGTATTAAAATAAGCGACACGCTTTTATAAAGTGATATTTTATACTCATTTTCATATTGTCATGACAAGAAAAATGTGATGGAGTATATTTGCATAAGGGCTTAAGGAGTGATAAATTGTCGCCATGTTTCAAGGTGACTCAGCAGAGGGGATTATATGTACTTTCAATATCTGAAGGAACTAATTAGAATTACAGTATTTGCAAGGTAACTTACATCACTGTTCAATATTAAACACATAATTATACCTCTTTAGATCTAAGCCCACAGTTGATTTTAGTTCTGTGGATTTTTTTCCAAATTTTAATTTTGAGTAGAATTTTTTCAAATTCATTTTTCTCTATTAGATATTAAATTTTTATTAGATATTAAATTTTTGTAATTCCATTTGGTAATATGTTCTGTTGTCCAAAACTAGTTGGAAACATGGTATTTGATTTTTTTTCATATCACAGTTAACTTGGTTTCAAGATCATATTACACTTTTTAGGCTGTTATTTAGTCAGAATTATGTGAACACACAATATATTCCATTTTCTTCTAATGTTTTCTAACAATAAAGGCACAAACCAGATTAATCTTGTAAATAAAACTAAAAGCTATGAAAATTACAGGTTCAATTTAGGAGCATATAAATTAATATTTCCCTATAAAATCAGACTAATTTTTTTTCCATTTTAAGGATCAAAAAAATTCAAATAGTCTGTTAACAGTGCTACTGTATTATTTGTGATTTTTCACTATCCAGGTAATAACTGATTAAATAGCAAAAAAGAACCAGAGTAAATTTGCTGCTTATCAGCTGCTCTTCATTTCAGTGACAAACACCAAAATAACAAAACCAATGCTTTAAGTCTTCTAGAGATATGTCAGGTTGCTCTTTAAAAGTAAAGCAAAAAAACCTTGATAGGTTTTTTTCTGTCTCTCTTTAATCATAGAAATATGCAAATAAATGTATTGCTTGATATTATTTCAATGTCAGCTATTCAAGATCAGCATATAATTTTGATGCATTCTGCTTCTTTTTGCTGCATAGTCTTTGTAATTCTAACATTTCAGTTTTAGGCAATCACTTTCTACAAAAATTTCCTAATGAAATATATTTGTATGAGTCTTATTTTTTTAAAATTTCATGTGTAAGTGATAAAATGAAACATGGGACATGGGAATTTGTTAAACTCCTTTTGACTTAGCAATAATATACTAGTTTGGAAGTCATCTCAGTGCATGGTGTAGCTTATCATTTTATTCCCTTTTGTGTCTCTTTAGTCTTCTCCTTGCATGGTGAGAAAACAAGATAAACCGCTCCCAGCACCACCCCCTCCCTTAAGAGATCCTCCTCCCCCTCCACCTGAAAGACCGCCTCCCATCCCACCTGACAATAGACTGAGTCGTCACTTCCATCCTGGGGAAAGTGTGCCTTCCAGAGACCAACCAATGCCTCTTGAAGCCTGGTGCCCTCGGGATGTGTTTGGGACTAATCCGTCAGTGGGATGTAGACTCCTAGGGGAAGGCTCTCCAAAACCTGGAATCACAGCAAGTTCAAATGTAAATGGAAGGCACAGTAGAATGAGCTCTGACCCAGTGCTTACCAGGAAACACAGATGCCATGATTTGCCTTTAGAAGGAGCCAAGGTAAGAAATTAGCAAAGCAGAGACAAAACAACCTGCTTATAGAACCCTTCTGTTAATATGTTAATAGGAAGTGCAAAAGGTTGGGAAGTATTTTTTGGGTGGTTTTTTTTTTTTTTTTTTTTTTTTTTGGCCTAGTGTGGCACTTCCCTGCAGGTCTTTAATTATCTCTGTGTTATAAATAATCAGAAGCTCATTAAAAGTTGAACCTAAAAGAAGTCAGGAAGAAAGTTCTAAGTAATGATTTAACTTTAATGTGAAGACATTAGACAGCTTGCCAGAGATTTATTTCACCTTCCCTTGTTTCATCTGCCGCAAGTTCTTCTTATTAATAACTTGGTGAAAAATCAGCTGGTTTTTTTTTTAATCTCTTCTATCCAATTTGGAAAAAGTTGTGTAACTATAGCATATCATAAATCAGTTATTGGCATTGTTGCTTAGGAAAGTACACTTTAGGCAACCAGGTGAAATGAATTTCTCATTTGCACCCCAGTTCACTCTTACAAAATAAACTCTACACAAAATTCATAGAGTCTCACACGTGTTGAATTCTAACTTGAAGGCTGTTGTCATCTTCATCATTTACATGTCCAGGAAAGAATCTCAGCACTTGGGTAACCAAAGAGGCAGGAGCCGGGTCCCTGTGCTTAGAGCTCTGCATAGGCCCCTGGCAGGGTTGCTGCTTTCCTGGGATTTGCTTACGTGGTATTTTTGACTCAGATCAGATCATTGCTATCTTCCCTCAACTAGAGGAGGCTTTGCCTCTCTTGAAGACTTTAATATTTAAAGCGATCCCATCTACACTGATCTGAAATTATTCCGGGTCAGTAATCTGTTCCTTCAAAATAATTGCTTGCTGTTGGTCAGTTCATCCTACAATATATTTAAGAAAGAAAGTGTGGAGTGTGGCATGTTCAACCTCTGTGTCTGTGCACGTGTGCATGTGTACATGTTTGAGAAGGTAAAGTGATAGATACAGTGATAACGAAAACTAGGTTTTGATATTCAACCTCAACGTTGAATGTTACTTTAGGGTAGCTGGGGTAGAAAGAGTAGAACTACGGGCATGGCATTCAACACAAAGGGGAAAAGTGATGGTGGTTTCCATGATTCTGTGCCACTGACTCACCTGGCTGCCTCAGTCTCTCTCTCTAAAGAGTCCCTCCCGGGTGACCTAAATAGGACGTAAAACTTACCAAGCAGTTTTACAACTGAAAATGAAGACCTTTTCTTCTGCAAAAGAAATGTTTCTCAACTTAGAAACCTGATAAGAGGGACCTGCCATTCTTTTTTAGTGGTTTTTATTCCTCCTTTAGCATCTATCTTCACTCATACATGATCACACTCTCCTTGCAAAGAGTGGGACAGAGCTCTGCTGTGAAATGGCCATTTACATCTCAGCAGCATGTTGCAATTTATTTCCTGAATGGATTTCAGGAGTTCTTAAAATATAATAATTATCTAAAAAAATTTATTGAAAACTTAGTATGTCAGGGTTCTTTTATATACTCTTAGCTATAATGTGAACTGCCCTTCTAAGACTTAGCACACTGTTAATTTTTGTATGGAAAGTCACAGTTTCAGAATTTGAGGTTAGGTTACAGGCATGAAATTTTATTAACTATAGCATGAAATATTAATAGTTGCTTCAGTTGTAAAGATTCTGTTATGTTTTGTATGTGCACTTTCATGTCCTGATCACCGATACATATAAATATCCCAGCAAACACTGACTACATTTGCAAAGTCTATTTCTTACTAAAAGCTGGATTTTAATCTTACTTAGTTCTTTGTAAATAATCCTCATTAAATTATCTAAGATGTAATCTCATGTATATTAGTATGATTGTATTCTCAAAGATAATGTTATAACTAGACAGCATTTCAGCCAAAATTAACCTTTGTAAACATTCCTAATTTCAATGTAGTCTGAGCTCTAAAACAGATTACAGAGAGGATATATTTATAGTTTTATGTATTAAGGGCTATACAACAGATTATATCTACACTTTTTATCTTTATGAAAGAAAAATGGTCCCACTTCCCTTAGACCACAGGTTATATCACAATTTACTTAAAGTGTAATTCCTCTTTTCAGTTCACTATTTGGATGCGGCTAAGTCCACCTAGAATCCTGAAGTTCTGGTTCTGTGATCCTGGCTTGGAGTTTGTTTCTCAGTTTATACTTTTTATGAAAGTATTTGAAGAATTGTAGTTCTTCAATCCAAACTGATTTAGTTACATAATTGTAGCACTATTTATATACAAGACCCTCCTGGTGTTAAAGATAGACTGAATCCCATTGTTCTCTCCCCTTTCAAATAGCTAGGCCCCATGCCCCTAGGTTCTAGAATTAAACCAAAATAACAGATTTGGAGATGTGGAGTATATAATAAATTCTAACAGTTGACATCTTCATTAAAAATAGCTGCCGTTTAGTTTTATATTAAAAAAAAACCTTACTTTACCCCTTTCCTTCTATTTTATTTAGCATCGTTCCTAATAAATGCTTGGTAAGCACCCCATAATTTGGTTGCTATTATTGTAGTCCACATACGCTGTCCACAAAGGCAAAAGTGAGTGTGTACCTGGGCTGGATGGGCAGGGTAGAAAGGACGTGAGCCACGGAAGAGAGGATGTCTACGATACATAAACAGTACAAAGAGTTTTTAAATGCATTTTCCCAATGCTGGCTTTCAGCCAGAGGTAGAAAATTTTTGTATAAAATAAATTTTTTCTCTTTAAAAGAAGTGTTTTCATTGGTAGATCAGGTCCCATAAGAGGATATCACAAAGGGGAGTGGATGACGAAGAAGGAAATGATTTTGATTTTTAAAAGGTTCATATTTTTCCTGAAAATGGTAAATGTTCCAATATAGTGTCACTTTCTATAGCTAAAATGTAGTTGTTTTATTTTCTCATGAGAAAAAAATGTTATGGGGAGTTAGATAACTGGAGACTGATAAATTATTTTCACATAACCCATCAGTCTGAAAATGCAGATGAAATACATTTGTTTTGAATTGTAAAAACTATCATGTATACTTGTTTTTGTTAGCAGTAATGTTTCATTTGAAACATTACTTTCCCATTTTAAAGTTAAAAAAACTTGAATAAATACTGAAAATTTAGATTAAAATTAAATGTACATATGGACTACCATATGGGGGATTTGTGAAACTAAACACTGTATAAGTTGAGCAAAAATTCATCTTCCTCAATTGTTCATCTTTTGTCTGTGTTCCAGTTCCCATCATCCATTAGACCCACTTGCCCTTTTTATTTGCATCTTTGACAGATAAATGGTGAGGGAAGCAAGAATAAATTAAACTCTAAATACATTTGCTAATTGTAGAGCTCTCTATAGAAAAAAAAAAGCCATCTAATTCATAGTTAACATGAAATGTAAGAATTTTCTGTGACTTTCATTTACTCCCTTTTTTCTTCTCCCTTCATCTAGCAGAATCAAATTAGCCAAGGTAATATTTACTTTTAACATGAATCTGCTAGCTAAGAGTTAGCTTTGTTTATCTTTTTATTAAAAACTGGTAAGACATTTCTGTGTCACTGTTTCCATTCTCAAAATTCTCAGGTTCTAGCTGTAAACCCGTTCCTTATAAAAACTGTATTGGCTAAATAATTCTGTTGTTGGTTTATTTTAAGTATCTAAGGTAAGAATAGTTCTGATAAAATATTTAAAAGATCATTGGAAACTTGAAAAATATCTGCTTATATCTAGATGTTAAAGTTGTGTTTAACTATCCTTATTCGTTACTCTTAAGAGATAAGAATACTGCTGTTTCTTATGTGATAAAAACTATCTCTGACTTGTCATGTTACTTGAAGTGACATTGTTCTAAAATGAGCCCATGTACAATAATCTGTTGAAGATGTTGCCAGATAAATACATCGAATGATTCCCCTTTTTGAGATTGTGGCTTTTGGCTGTTTGGGCGTAGAGACACATGTTGATATGGATGACCTTAAACTTATCTATGAATCTAAGGCTGAGGGCTGTCTTTGAGAAAAATAAGACCTTTGTGTACACTGGTTTCACTTTCAATCTGTGTTGAAGAACATGTAAGAGCAGTATTTTGGGGGTAGTATATGTGTGAGTTTACACGTTTGAAATTTTGTACAAGTAAGATTTTTCTTAAGTATGCTAAGATTGCCACAAAAGTATTTGTTTTCCTTATATCTCAAAAGCTCCAAGTGCTATTAACCCTAATTTTTGGACAATATCTGAATCATAAGAGAACATCAGACTTCAAGACTAGGATTAAAAGGTACCTTAAGGCATGTAGAAAAATATTAATCTAGTATAACCAAGAATATATAATGAATTATGTGCCAACTCAGATTATACTCCTCCCACAAGTCTAAACTTAACCCTAATGTGTTCTTATCCCTTCAACTTTTTTCTGCTATATGCCTATAATTAGGTGGTTCTAGATACTGTGGACATCTAAAGTAAATAAGCACAGTCCAGTGAGAATGAAGCAGTTACATGATTAGGAGATAAGACGTAAAATAAGCATTCAGAGAATATACTGTGGGATCTCCATGAAGGAGAAGTAGTTCTAATTGAGATGCAGGGTAAAAAAAAAGACTAAGGAAAGCTGCATACATGTGGATCACTGGCTATATAGTCATTGAAGGATAGTCAGGTGCTGTTCTTGTAGACATGACAGAAGGACTATCATGGATGTGAGAAGTATGCATTGTGATAGGAAGTCAATCTTTGATCCAGTGTAGGACACACAGGGTAGATCAAACTGGCAATGTGGATTAAAGTCAGTTGTGGAGTGTCTTGGATTCTAGACTACATCATGGTTAATTCAATAGGAAAGAGCTCTTAAATTTGGGGGGACAGAGAAGTGATAGAATTGGATTATTTAAGGTGGTAGCATTTCCAGTGGAATTGTGGTAAATTTGGGGGGAAGAATTTGGAAGAAAGGGCACAAAATGTATCTTTATTGGAGGAGTTAAGACTGCCAAAATCATTGAGATGCAGTGATACTATATCAGTCTACACATTTGAGGAACTGTTGTTTTCTCCTAATAGCAAGCAGCCCTTTTAGATTCCCATAAAACATGAAATATGTATTTTTAGCTCCAAAAGTTGTGACTTTCTGCATTCCCACAGATAGTGGTAGCTAAAATGATTTTAAGTCTAATGAAATGGATCCAGGTGGGAACATGGAATTCAGAATGAAATATGTTAAATCTTTACATTAAATATTATATAAACAGGCACTTTAGCTAAACAGAAAGATGCTGTTTGCACAACATATCATCAAGAAGAATTACTTGTTTGGTATTGGGCATATTGTTAATTTGCAGTACATATTTAGAACAGTATATAAGACTAGTCTTTAAACAAATTATATAAGTTTGCTGAGAGAACTTTTGTAAACTAATAAATTTCTTTCAACTATACCAAAGGAATGTCATTTTGTTGGATAAGGATCCATTATTAAGATCATCTAGGCCAATCAGGAGTCAGTATTCACTTTAGCCCTACTGTGTTTGAGGCAGTGAGGAGATATGCTATAAAATGATAAGGATATGAGTGTTTTTATCCTGAAAGAGATAAATGCTCTTGAATGCTCCTTCACAGAACATAACTACACATAACTATAAGCAAGTTATCAAGATACTAAGCACCAAATTAATGGTTCAGAAGAGACACTATGGCATTTCAGAGGCAGAAGAAATCCTTGCATTACTATTTGTTGATAAAGAGTGTTTCTAATGTGGCAGGAGAAAGTACCATTTGTATTTTAAAGCATATTAATAGATTGTTTCACAAAATTAGGAACGAGTCACTTAATTCCCTTAGGTTATTACTCTCTTAGAGAATAAACTACATTACTAATTGTACTTTGGCTTTTTATCAGTGCTAGACATCATCGCCTGCATTACAAGACCTGTTGAAATTTAATGGTAGTACACAGGAATATCATGCAACATCCTGCAGGTAGTGGCAGCAAAAATGATTTTAATATATTATCTCATTTACCTAATGTGCAAGATCTTAATATCAGTAAGTGTTCAAATATATTGACTTTTTTTCCAGGTGTGTTCACAATATTCTATTTGAATTATGGTTGGATTGTTAAATTAAGGCCAAGGCCTCCCCGGTGGCGCAGTAATTGAGTGCAGGGCTGCGAAGCTGCCCGCAGCCTCTGCAGCACCGGTTCGAACCCCGGCCGCCGGGTGAGGGTCCCACATGGCGCGCAGACCTCTCCTGCTGCCCGCTGCTCCCCTCAGCAGTGTACTTCATCCGCCTGCCTGTTCTGCTCCCTGCTCTGGCTCTGGTGAATTCTCTCACACCCCCCCCACCCCCGCGCTTCCGACTGTACCCAGTGCTTGTATAAATAAATAAATGAATTTTTAAGAAAATTAAAAATAAAAATAAATAAATAAAGGCCAATACAACAGAAATGGTTACTTCCCTATCTCCCTTGTATTCAGTAAATGCTGAAAGTTGGGCCTCCCTGGTAGCTCGAGGGGTTATGGCACAGCACCAGGAAGCTATCCTCGGATTCTATCCCCTGCCGCCCAGGGAGCTACCCACATGGTGCAGCAGACCTTTCCTATCTCACCCACTGCTCCCCTCAGCAGTGTATTTCAGTCAGTCTGCCTGTTCTGTTCCCCACTGTCTCTGGTGAATCCTCTCAACCCCCCCCCCCACACACACACACACCTCTGGCCTGTACCCCAGTTCTTGTATGCATAAATAAGTCTTTAAAAAATAAATGCTGAAAATTTAGATATCAACATTACTTTCTTCTAAAAAAGATTATTGCATATAAAATCCACATTATATTTTACAGAATGAATTTTTAATGTATTTGTGACAAATATCAAAAAAAAATTGCAAAAATCTTTCTTGTATCCATTTCAGCAACATACAAAGGACTACAATTAAAGATAACTAAAATGCTCATTATCATAACGATCATTTGCTCCTTAAAAGGAATTTTTTAATGTTAGAGGATTTCATTGAACTTTACAATGATTAATATCTAATAGAAATTCTTCTCTCTAGCCAAGTATAAAAAAGTCTGCCTTGTTCCGTTATCTGCTTCATAGTCAGAAGCCTGTGATAAAATCATTTCATTTAGAGATATATTTTGTCATAGTATATTGACTCTAATGAAGGGAAGCCTGAAAAAGAAATTGGAATTATAGCACAGATCCTAGTTTTCAGAATGAAACTTTAATGCTATAAAATTTTGATTGTATAGCTTTGAATTGCAAACATTCTTTGAATTGCAAATGTATTCTTTAAACATTTTCCTTTACTTAAGTTGATAGAGAAGGCTATATGCTTTTCAATTTTGTTTTCTAAAGCTTAGACCCCATTTTAGAAATTTGAGGAGATGAAAAAGAAATCTGGTGGATTGTTGATTGGATTATCTAGGAGTATTCACATCAGATTACATCCTTTTTGCCTCAACATCAACTTACCTTTTAAATATGAATTAATGAGAAAGAAATGCATGGGTAAAACTAATGATTGTTTAAAGATCTTAAGATAATTTTAATCTTTTTCTTGTGAATAGAATTTTGCAACATTATTCTCTTTTGTTTCTTTTAAGTTGTTGATTAACAAAGAGCAGTTCAGGAAGGTCTTGCGGTCTAACTGAGCAACCTGAAAAGCAAAATTCTGAATTCAAAGTAATTAACAATGACTGTCATTGCTTATGAGCAAAGTAATAATTTTGGTTTGTGTTTTTCACACACTGAAATGTTTGTTTAAAACTGTTTGCACTGTGAAAGCCAAGAAAGGTCTCTGGTTAACACCAGTAGTGCTGAAGCTACAACCTTGAAAGAAGAAAGGCATTTCTAATTAAACTCATGTTTTGCTTTATTGAGTAGTTCTAAAATGTTAACCCCAGAAAAATATAATTTAGGACACTTTTATTTGGAAGGGGTTGAAATAAGAATTGCACCAATATGGCTGCTTTCCTTAAAGCATCCTTACATACAATGCTAACGTCAATAGAAACTGATCCTTTGGGGAAAATTGTACTATCTAAATATATCTGATCAGTAATCATAGTCTCTCTCATAGTATTCTTCTTAATATATTTGTGAATCATGTTGTATTTTATTTGTTTATATAGTTAGGTAACACTTTGGATGATGGTAAATAATTGCTACAATAATAATGCTAAAGATTTCCTGAGTTAAATATATTTCACTTGATTAAATAAACGAAAACAATATTTTCTCTTTAAAACTATAGATTTTCTGAGTTGCCACTGCTTTAAGGCCCTCCAGAAGTTAAATTCTAAAGTAACTCTTGGATTTCCTTTCAGGTCTTCTCCAATGGTCACCTGGGAAGTGAAGAATATGATGTTCCTCCCCGGCTGTCGCCCCCTCCTCCAGCCACTACCCTTCTCCCTAGCATCAAGTGAGTGTCATTGAATTTGAAGATCAGTTGTCTATAGGTAAAGAAAGATGTGGTAAAAAGTGGCTGAGGTTCTCAGTACAGACAGTACAGGGTAAATAGAAATGCATCAAATAAGTGTGAGCCAGGCAGATTTATAAAATACCAAGTACAAGATTTTTCCTGATTCTTTGCTGATCACCACAGCATATCTTTGAGTTCTCCAATTTCCTCATTTATTTTATTTTTTTTTTAAAGATTTATTTATTTTTATACAAGAGCTGGGGTATAGGCCAGAGGTGCGGGAGGGTGAGAGGATTCACCAGAGGCAGAGCAGGGAGCAGAACAGGCAGATGACAGAAACACACTGCTGAGGGGAGCAGCGGGCGCGGCAGGCAAGGTCTGCGGCGCCATGTGGGATTCTCGCCAGCCGGGATTGAACCCATATTGCAGAGTTTGCAGACAGCTTCACAGCATGGCACTCAACCCCCTGTGCCACCGGGGAGGCCCCTCCAATTTCCTCATTTCTCAAATCCATTCACCGCTAAGTCCTATTAATTGTTCTTTTGAAGTTGTTCATATTCAACTAATAATACCTATTGACATAGCTTCTCCTCATATCTGGACAACTGTAAGAAGCTAGATCTGATTTTATGATAGAATCTCAGAATTCCCATCAATGGGATTTAAAGCTAGAATCACATAGTAGCCCAGATGTCTCATTGAAAAATAGGGACCCAGGGCCTCCCCAGTGGCGCAGCGGTGGAGCGCTGGGTTGCGAAGCTGCCCACAGCCTCTGCAGCTCTGGTTCAATCCCCGGCTGCCGAGCGAGGGTCCCACATGGCGCACATACCTCTCCTGCCGCCCACTGCTCCCCTCAGCAGTGTACTTCGGTTCTTCTGCCTGTTCTGCTCCCTGCTCTGGCTCTGGTGAATTCTCTCACCCTCCCTCGCTACTGACTGTACCCAGTGCTTTTATGTAGTATGTATGTATGTATGTATGTATGTATGTATGTATGTATAAATAAATAAAGCTGGAGAAAATTACTAAAAATAACATATTTAAAAAAAAAAGAAAAAGAAAAGTAGGGACCTAGGAGCCACTTTGTGACAGTTAAGTGATATGTCTACCGAGGTCAAACCAGGATAAAATCAAATCTCCTAATTCCCATTTTTCCTACTCTCTATGTTAGATTAGGCTGCCTATCTTTCCTCCAGTGTATTTGGTTCACACAGCTGAATTAATTTAAATTTTGCTTTCCCCAGATCACTTTCTTACTTAAAACCCAGCAATGTGTTTCTTCTCCTGTGCTCTTCTGTTAGCAGTAAGATATATAGACTTTACCCAATTAAACTGTTCAGTAGTTCCAAATGCATACTCTGTGACCTTGTCTTGATTTTATTCTGGCTTGGTGAGGTTTTTCATGCTGTTCTCTCCTATACAACACCTATTCAAAATATTCTAAATATTTTGTTTAGGACAACTTTGTAACTTCTCCAGTTACAATGATAGTAACAAGACTGATTCCCGTTCATCTTTCTGTAGTTTATTTCTACACATTTAATTATGTACTCTGCTGTGCTGCTTCCTAATTGTAAAGTACCTCTCCGCATTAAAAAGATTATAGGTTTGGAGGGTATAACCTTTTCTTAGATTCTCTGATTTTCTCACAGCAACCTTACTGCTTTTACTTTATAGTGAGTACACTGAGAATACCTGGTTGGTTAATTGACTTGAATTTTAGCTGCTAAGATCCTCATTTCTGATTAAAGCTGCTGCCGCTTTGGTCTTCGGGCTTCTTCACTCCTTCCTTTACTGGTGACTGAACTCATATTATACATATGAACACCAAACCATGATAAGCTAGATCCCATCCCCCCAGATATTTACAGTATACTTTAGAAAAAAGCTCACATTAAATCACTAGAGAATATTGTGACTAAAGTGTACAATTCTAACTTGGAGGAGAGTGTGTTACAGACTTTGTAAGTCAAGGATATTTCATAGAATGGAAATTTCTTGAATCCTGACAGTGGGATCAATGGAAAAAGGAATATTTGAGAAAAACCAAGAGTGTTCAATTTGACATCACTCAGTCCATCATGGGAAAGTAAGCTAGTCTGGCCATTCTCCAGTGGCAACTTTACTTGGAACTGCTAGGTATATAATAGACATTGACGTTGCAGTATGCATTGTCTGTCTAGTAGACTCTAAATCAGTACGAACATATGATAGTCTTGCCCCAAATAAACTATATATGCAGTAAAATTTCTAAGCTCAATTCTAGGCTGTATTGATATTTATAAGAATATGTAGAAAAGTTAAGTTTGACACCCCTCCTTTGGTGCCCAGCATATCACCATTTGCAGTTCATATACTTAATTAACTGCCTTCATGTATATCTTTCATGGTTCAGCCATAACAGGTATAATTCTTGGGTTATTAATAATATTAGCTTGTGTTCTAGGCAGTGACAGTGGACTTCCTGTCACCACATCGCTGCACATACATCTCATAAACTCTCACTTGAATTCCAGGATCATTCAGAAAACAAGAATTCAAAAATCGGTTTTGAAAAAGTCTTCATAGATGGATGAAATTTTAGAGAAGTCTTAGGAAAGACTTTTTCTCATCTGAAGTTTCTAGATTGAGAGATACCATTAAAGTTGAAAACCTTCTTGCAGTGAGCACAAAGAAAAGCCCTTAATGTTCTCACAAATTATAAACGATCTTTAGCTTGATGGCTCATGTACCAAAGACCTCTTGCTCCCTCTACAGAAGGTGCTTCAAAATTGCAGTCAAAACATTTTTCATGAGGTTTATCATGATTCACAAAAAGTTTTAAATCTATATTTCCAATGTCTTACAAACCCATTGGGCAGGTTTGTGCACTTCACTTTGGCATTTTCCACTGGCATCAGCAAGAGTTAGATAAAAGTTCAGTAGTGACAACTTGAAAGAGAGTAGGTTTTTGTTTGTTTCTTTGGATTTTTTTTTTTACTCTAATGTATAAGTAAAATGCTTGAAAATTTAGGTGATTGGTTTTACTCATTTTCTTGCATTTTTATTATGCCATGAAATTTAAGCCATAAAAATAATGTGCTCTAATTTAAAGACTTTATAAATTCTCCTATTTACTTTCAACAGTTTTAGTCCTTTTTAGTTTATGCTTGTTAGGGGAAAAAAATAGCAATCTGAATGGCAACTTCACAGGAGAAAGAACTGTTCCATTTAATTAAACTGGATGTATTTTCAACTATAATAGTCACAAGAGAGAAAATATTCAACCTTTCTGTAAAAACTTCATTAATATGTAAAACTGCCATGCACACATATTTATCATTTTAATTCACCCATTTAAGTTATATTGGAACAAAATGTTAATATTTTAATAACTTGGATTTGAATGCTTTTCTGCATTTTCTGTTACAACTGAAGACAATTTTGTTTTATTTGACAGAGTACTGGTTTCTCTTACTGTGCCATTTAAAATAATATGTATGAAAATTTTTATTCCATCAATAGTTTCAACAAAAGTTTGAAAATCCTTTTCGTTTGTGTTTTGTATAAGAACGGTTCTTCTAAATTGAAAAATGAATACACATGGTAAACTAGCTGCTTTGATTTGAATATGTCACAGGGGACTTGCCTATTCTATGTTAAAACTAGATTGGACTTTTTTTTTTTTCTCCCCCCACCCCTGCTGGTAGGTGTACTGGTCCATTAGCAAATTCCCTTTCCGAGAAAACAAGAGACCCACTAGAGGAAGACGATGAATACAAGATCCCTTCATCCCATCCTGTTTCCTTGAACTCACAGCCATCTCATTGTCATAATGTAAAGCCTCCTCTTAGGTAAGAACTTGGGTGGCTGTTTAGCACATCACATTTGCATAAGCATAACCATTCATGCTGTTTGTTTTTAAGCAATTGAATCACATGTAATTCTTATTTCTTTCTGAAAGCCTATTCTTCCAGTACACTATTTTCTGCATTACTCTTCAAAGAAAACTAAGAGGCAGATTTCCCATTAATCAGTAAGTCATTTTACTTAGTTGACTAGTAAGTCTAATTGGAACATTTTGTTGACCCTTCCCTCCCAAAAACAAATTATTCATTAATAAAACTTTGCTATAGGTTACACATGATGGTGATTAATGCATTTTCTTTTCTTTTTTCTTTCAAAATTAACATAGACATAACATTTACAAAAGATAGCCTAGGCAAAATACATGGTGCATATGTTTTCCCACAATTGTTGATAACAACTAGAGACTGACACAGTCTCACTTCATTTTCCAAACTGGTAAGAAAGAATACAGCAGAATCCAGTATTGCCATGGAGCACAAAAAAACAAATAACCAAATATAAATAGGCTTGCCACAGATTAATGCATTTTCAATGTTATTTTATCTGTTCTAAGCATATATGAAAAATGTTAGTGCTTAGAAACTAATGTATTATGACAACTTCCCTTTGATTTTTTTCTTCATGACCTACAGACTAGACTAATTTATATTCATCCCCCTTCTTTTTTTTTTTTTTTTTATAGATTTATTTATTTATTTATTTATTTATTTATTTATACAAGCACTGGGTACAGTCAGAAGCACGGGAGGGCGAGAGAATTCACCAGAGCCAGAGCAGGGAGCAAAGCAGGCAGAAGGACCGAAGTACACTGCTGAGGGGAGCAGCGGGCGTGGCAGGAGAGGTCTGCGCGCCATGTGGGACCCTCCTCTGGTGGCCGGGGAGCAGCCGGGGATCGAACCGACGCTGCAGAGGCTGTGGGCAGCTTCGCAACCCAGCGCTCAACCACTGCGCCACCAGGGAGGCCCTCATCCCCCTTCTTGACATCAGTGTAGTTTTATTGGATCTTGGTGGGGGGGAGGGGAATCTGAAATTGTTTACCCGAACTGCTTTTTATCAAGCATGATTTTACTTTTTCTTGGATCAAATAAGAATGTGAGCAGCAGTGTTTTTTTTCTTGTCAATTGTTTAATTCTCGCTCAAACTGGGACATCCTTGGTCTTTAAGAATCAGCCTTATTGAGGGATATCACAGTTATTAAAAGTGGGTGGTATGTATTGAAATATTAATCTCTAAGTAGGATGCAGCTGCATTTATATAATTGAATTAGTAAACTGTAATGATATTTTTTCTTTTTAATTAACTTCAGAACCTTCTGAGCTCCAGCTCCTTTGTACCACATCCCTGAAGCTATGCTAGACACACAGAATAGGGCTCTCCTATTCGCCAGCAGTTGCTGGTGGCCCAGCCTTCTGCCTCCCGGTACTCTAGATTGACTGACAGATAGGAGAACCTTTGACACTTCAATTATCTATATCATCTTTATTGAGTGTGCCATTTCCTTTTTGAGGTCAAGTCAATCAATTGAAAGCATTTTATGAGGGGAATGTTTCCTTCTTTTAGATGAAAACTCTAAAAAAAAAAAAAAATCTAATGCCTGTCTAAGACTGAGGTAGAAAATGCAATGCAGGGGTAAGGGAAGCCAGGTTCACTTTAACTAGGTATCTGTCTTCATGAGTGATCCTGGTTAGAATTACCAACCCTCTGCAGAATTAACCACAATTATTAACTCGCTGCGGTCTAAGCCTTTGTGTTTTAAAGAACCAAAGCATTTCTTGCTAATTGCTGGTGTTTAAGACATTTGTTGATAAAATAGTATCATTAAGAAGACAAATAATTAAAAAAAGACAAATAAGTAAGGGCGGTTTGTTATATCAGAACCACCAAGTGTCTCCTCCCCTATTAGCAAGAGAAAATTTGTTCCTTTATATCAAATACAGATTGTTAGAACTTTCAGTTCCTTTGGCTCCTAAAAATATGTCATAATTTTTTAAAAATGAAATAAAATGAGTTTGTCTCTTTGAGATGATTTTTTTTTTTCTGCTGAGCAGTGAGGGATATAATTTTAATATTTTAAATTTTGTCACATCATATTAGATTAAATTTTTTTGGTGGCAGGCCTCCCAAGTCCTGAAAATAAATTTGAATTATACCCACCATTCCATTTTTCTGCTGTTACAGAAAAGTAATTAATGTTGATAATCACTTATTTTAATTGGAGTGAATTTTTTATCTTACTTGTTCATGAAAGCTGTTAAAATACCTCGTGTTTTCTACAAAGCATTCTTAAAGGTTAAAGACTGCCTTTCACCTCTGTTCCCTATCCCTTTGGAACATCAGGACAAATTGTCAATATGTGGAAAAAGTTGAACAGTAGATGAATAATTCAACTCCGTTTCAGTAAAAGTCCATCATCCTTATGAAAATTCAATATTTTTAAATGAACCATCTCTGGCCCTTTAAAGAGAAGTAGCCACCAGAGAGAACAGAAATGTACATCAGATGAAGCACTCTAGATCTATTCAAATAACCTTCATTATGTATATACCTTTACTTTGCCCCAAGAATTCCTAGTAAATCAGAGAAACTTAAAATACAAACTCTGCTTTCTATAGCTTTTTAAAAAAAAATAGTTTATTCTTTGCATTTCAGAAGATTAGGGTTCTCTCCATCCGGTATTTGCACCCATTTCACCCATAGTCCACCACCATAATCCATTGTGTTCCCTTCCGTCTTTGTTGCTACCCCTCTCCCCTTCTCCATACTTCTGTTGTTTTCAGGGTTAGCTTTTAAGGTTGTCTTTGATTCTTAATTTGGTTTCTCTATATTCCCCTTACTAGGAGAAAAACATGGTAAGCAGAGTTCGTAGCTGTGCAGCAGCTGTGTATTTGCTGAAAACAAAACATGCTTCTTATCTCTCTTTGCTGCTACTTTCCCAAACCCCAATTTTATCTATTGTGTACTTGCAGTATGATTCAGAAGTATTAATAACCAAACAACAAAAACATATTTTTTGTTTTTTTAAATTTTAATTTTATTTTTATATTCCCCATACAATTGCAACCCCCTTATTTTGACCCCAATCCCTCCTTTCCCCGCCCCCCACCCCCCCATAGAGTATCTCTGGTTCATAGTTGTTGATTTTGATTTTTACTTTCTTACAGTTATTCTTTTTCCTGGTCTCTTATTTAAGCTTTTTAGATTCCTGCTATGAGTGAGACCATCCAGTATTTTAACAAAAATATATTTGCCTTGGTACCTTTTTCCTTCAAAAATTTGACAAGGTAATACCATGCTCTCAAAATGATGTATTAATTTCACGTAGGTCTAGATAATCCAACAATTTCTGTGGTTTGGCTTCACTTTTAAAAAGGGGCTATTTGTCTTTTGCAGGATATTTACTTCTTTTAAAAGGACATATCAGAGTCTGTAGAAATTACTTGTACTTTTTCTAGAAAAGAGGAAATACATTTTCAAACTTTGTTATATAAGCAGGCTGGTTAGTTGCCATCATCAACCCAAATGATGTTTAAATGGAAATCTTTATCCTTATAATTTTTGTCCTTGATCTCTGCTTTAGGTCTTGTGATAACGGTCATTGTATATTGAATGGAACACACGGTACCTCTTCAGAGATGAAGAAATCAAACATCCCTGATTTAGGCATATACTTAAAGGGTATGTAGAAAACATTCTTTGTGCTATCTTAATGGTCAGAATTTAAAGGCAAAGTTCTGTGCCACTGTTGAACTGAAAATACATTAAGATTTTGTGTTATCCTCTAGGAGATGTTTTTGAGTCAGCCTCTGATCCAGTGCCATTACCACCTGCCAGGCCTCCAAGCCGGGACAACCCAAAGCATGGTTCTGCACTCAACAGGACGCCCTCTGATTATGATCTTCTCATCCCTCCATTAGGTTGAAATCTTTTAAAAAAATTTTTCAAAACCCTCACCCTGACACTTCTCTCAATTAATATCTGAATTAGCAGATTTCAGAGTTCAGTGCAGACTCACTGGGTCATACATTTGCCTGAATTAGAACGGGTCCCCCCCGGTGACGGTGGCATTCCTTTTCACATTTATTGGTAGATGTCAGCAGTGATGTAGTCAGTCAGGGTTTTAGCAAGTTAGTTCTGTGTACTAAAAGCCGTTCCAAAAACTTAGAGCATGGTTCATTGCCCCAGATGTTGTATTCCAGTAGATTTGAACTGTGTACTTATTCTTTAGCATAAAATGACCCACTTTTACTCAGCTAATTACGTAAAAATACATATTTTATTGTAGTGAGACGAGAATATTGTCTTAATTGTTGTAACTATAACACATGAAAAATGTGCTTTGTTTCAAAGTTTAGTATGAAACAGTACATTAATAAGTGTTTATGCAGGGGTGAAGGTACACATTGGTGGGCACGGGTGTTAGTTAGCAGGTGCTGGGGTCAAGTTTATTTCATTAATTCAGGTAGGCAGGTTCTCACCCTATTTTTTTGAAGAAAACATTTAGAACATCTACACAAATTAAGATTTCACAATAACAATTCACCATAACAAAATAATGTACAATGGTTTTTACTCTGATCTGAATTGGTTATTAGGCTACCAGAAATACAAAATGACCTATTTTCTCCAAACACCACTGACTAGCATTTCCAGTCATATAATTAGGCTGTCCTTTTTTTACTCCTGTTCTCGGAGTTGGGTGCTGTATCCTCATGTACATAATTTATAAGGGCCTCCTAACTTCTTACTAAGTCTTTTTCTCTCTTCTTCCTGTACACTGCTGAGTTTTGACCAGTAACCCAAGTGTTATGATCTAAATTAGCATTATCCAATAGCACTTCATGTGATGCTGTAAAGGATTTCTATAATCACATGTGGCTAGTGTGATTCAAATTGAATTTTAATCTTAACTGTATGTGGATGGTAAGTAGTATACTGGACAGTGACGACAAACGTTCCAATCTGTCTTTTTAACATGACCTTCCTCTAGCTTGTCCTTTGACCATTTATACCACCTAGAAGACACCATCATGAATTTGGTGAATAAATGGTTTCAAGCCCCTGATATCCCTGACCTCTGACCTTCCTGTTCTTGGTAACTGTATTTCTTTTCCCTCTTATAGTGCATAGCTCCTCCTGATACCTATGGGACATTCACCTATAAATCATACCTATTTTTTCCTTACATCTCCTGGTGAAAACTAAGTTCCTTGCTTCAGGACCTCATGATTTTGATCATCACATTACCCACATGGTGCCTGACATTTAGGGGCTGCAAAAAGATTTGAATAAATATGATAATGTAGCATATAGCTAAAAGTTAGAATGAGAGCAGCATTTGTCTATACCTTCAAATATTTTAAATTAGAAATTCATGATTGTTAGAGAAAGAGTTTGCAAGGCAAGCTGAATGAATGGTAAAATCACTTTTCTTTAAATAGACCTTTATGTTTAATTCAATATATTTAAATACATGTGAATTTTGATTACAGGAACATAGGTATTCATCCCATTTTATTCACAAAGTATTTGAAATAGCTTACAAAAATACATTGCAATTCTAATTTTAAAGCATCAAGGTAAGGGAAAACATGAGTAAAATAGCATGACACGGGGAAAAGTAGACATAATAGCATCCTGCACTATTCTATAGCTGCTAGGAAGTATGCAAATGTAAGTGACTAGCTATGGGGACCACAAAAGGAAGTTCTATATTTAACTCTTCCTCTTTAGAGATATATGAGAAGTGAAATATACATATTTGTAAACTATTCTGTGACATTAAATATTTTGTGCATGTGATTTTCTAATTACAGGCCGTGAGCACGTACAAAAAAAAATTGGTTTTGATCGTGTGACCTTATTTTTAGTTCACATTTTCCATGTCTCAATATTATAAAAGTTACAAGTGAATAATAAGCTGTCTTCATAACCTGCAATAATCTTTTTTTAATAGTACTAGGAAACAGAAAAATGTTTACACATGCATGTGTGTTTGTTTTACTCCAAACACTCCCATAAAATTAGTAACTCCTGTCATCAAAGGCAGTGAGCTGCTGGATGAACCCCGCGGCTGAAGTTCTTTTTAAGCAACGAAAGAAATCAGTCATTACTTTTGCTTGGTACCTGATGCTGTGTTCTAATTTATGATGAATGCTGTTGATCCAGACCTTTCTTTAAATGCAGGTGAAGATGCTTTCGATGACCTTCCACCTTCCCTCCCACCTCCTCCCCCTCCTGCAAGGCACAGTCTCATTGAGCATTCAAAACCTCCTGGCTCCAGCAGCCGACCATCCTCAGGACAGGACCTCTTCCTTCTTCCTTCAGGTAGGAGGAAAAACTGGAAAACTTTTCACTTAAAACCTTACTGTCAAACATGTAATTCATTTGTTTCTAGTTCCCAAGTAGAAAAATCCTTGGAGGGGAGAGGGAAAATAGCAGTTGGTGAGTAGGTTTGTTAATCAGCTGGTTTTGTGCCGATAAGATGACAGAGGCAATATGGAATCATAGAATTTAGAAATGGTGCCATAAAAATAAATCATCCAGTACAAATAACACCCCCACCTTACAGAGGCATTCCTGAGAAGCCTCAGTGATTGGACAGACTTGAGACTATCTATACTGTTTTTAAGCTTTACTAGAAATGCCAACATTCAGTTACATTGAATCTGCTGATACTGGGTATTCTAATCTGTCCTGTCAGTGATACCAGCATGATCTAAAATATTTGCCTCCTTGAATTGTTTTGGTTAAAAATAGGGGAAAGATATCTTTCCCCTAACAATTTCTTTACCTTCTGTATGAGATAATTATGTAAAGCCTTTCAGGTGTGCTCAGTGAAATCAGGAATTTCAACCATTATCTTTTAGACCTTTAGCATTCTTTTTTCTCACTTGGATGGTGGACATATACCCTGTAGTATACAGCTTGATTTTCTGAAATTAGTTCCTGTCCAAAAAACACATGATTTATAGCAACCCTGGATAACAACTATACATAGGTTTTAGGTGGGCAGCCTCAGGGTTCAAAATCCGTATGTCATTTAGAACAGCCATATTACTCTACATTATGATCCCACAGGGAAGTCTAGTTCCATACAGCACAAAAAAATGACCTCTAGTAACTGTTTTACTTCCCCCTAAGCCACTTTGGCCCTGGTCACTACCATTCTGTTGTCAGAACTAAGGGCTTGTTTTCATTTTTGCTTGTTCCCTTTGCTTTCTTTATCTTCCACCTGCACTGTTTGTCTTTCTCATTTACTTCATTTGCATAATACCCTCTAGGCCCATCCATGTTGCACAGGGCAAGCTTGTTCTCTCTTCCCTTGAAGTCTCACTACTCTTTAGGGGTGTGCGTAGATTATTTCATTTTCTGTGTATGACGCTGTTTGGATTGATAGCTGCTTGCATGTGAACACCTGCTGAAACTTTACATTTTTGCTTCCGCCATTTGATAATTTTAATGTCTTTTTACATCTTTACCTTATAAATATATAAATTCTTGTGGCTTTAGTTAATATTACAACTTTATTCTTTGCACCTTTTTTCACTGGTGATCTGTTTTACTATATGTTCATTAGCATTACCACTGATGCTTGAAAAATGCAGAAGTTAGTGGTATGATCGGCCCGGTATAGTCAAAAAATGGGTATATAACTTTTGATTCCCCAAAAATTTAACTGCAATCATTCCTTAGTCTTGGTTTCAGCACCACACCCCTGCCCCCCACACATGCCACAAGCCTTGTGCATCATCTTGGGTTCCACATCCAAGGAGGAATTCCAACCAACCGAAGGCTGGTTGAATTTGTGAATGTAAAACTTAAGTATAGAAAAAAAATTCAGGGCCTCCCCAGTGGCGCAGCAGTTCGATCCCCGGCTGCTCCCTGGCCACCGGAGGAGGGTCCCACAGGGCGTGCAGACCTCTCCTGCCGCCTGCTGCTCCCCTCAGCAGTGTACTTCGGTCCTTCTGCCTGCTCTGCTCCCCGCTCTGGTGAATTCTCTCGCCCTCCCGCGCTTCTGACTGTACCCAGTGCATGTATAAACAAAACAAACAAACAAACAAACAAATAAATAAAAACATGCCTCTATTAAAAAAAAAAAAAGAAAAAAAAAAGAAAAAAATTCAAACCCATTTGTTCAAAAGGCAACTGTCTTTCTTTTAAAAGAAGCCCCTTTAACATCTTTAGCATCTGTGGGGATCGAAAGTTATACACCACTTTTTTGAATACACTGGGTTGATTCTGCTGGCTAACCCCTGCATTTTTCAAAGGTCAATGGTAATGCTAATTAGAATCAACAGCTCTAGCTAGGTATATTTATAGGTGATCAATTCTTCCAGCTTTTGCTTTTCTGAGAAACTCTTAATCCTTAAATTTCAAAAGTTAACCTCCCAGTTACAAAATTCTTTAGTTTTTGGGTTTTTTTTCCCCCCATTTAGCACTGGAGTGTGTCTTGCCACTCTCCACTTGTCTCTAAATTTAGTTTCTTTTGCAAGTTTATGGACAGCTTTATGGCTTGCCCTTGTATAGGACATGCTGTTTTTCTTGTTGCCTTAAGATCCTCTCTTTAACGTTAACCATTTTTATTTTAATGTATCTTGGCTGGATCTCTCTGGACTTCCTTACCTGGATATAGGTTTCCTTTTCCAGACTGGTGCAGTTTTCAGCTATTTTCTCAAATAAATTTTCTGTCCATTTCTCTTTCTTCTAGGACCCCTATAATGCAAATATTATTCCTCATGATGTCCCAGAAATCTGTTAAAAAATCTTCACTTTAAATTTTTTTTTCACATTTTGTTGCTTTGTCGTCCAGATCATTTATATGACCCTCTGCTACATTCAGTCTACTGTTAGACCCCCTCAATTATATTTTTCAGTTTTATTCTTCAGTTTTACTCCAGCTTGAAACTTTAGATGTTTGTTGACTTTCTCACTGCATTAATATTTTTTTTGCCCTTTTGATCAACTTCCTAACCATTGCTTTAAACTCTTTATCAGGATAGTTTGCTTATGATTTTGTCTGGCTCTTTCTTTGGGATCAATGTTCTGCCTGATTCTATGTTTGCCTGTGTTAGGCAACTCTGCTACCTCTCCTGGTCTTGTGCAGGTGATGTCCCCTGTGGCTGCCCAAGCACGGCACTTAAGATGCCTTCCTTGAGTGGACTACATCCACTTGCAAAGCCTGGTGCTTGGGGCTGCTGGCCTATAGCTCAGTCATTTATGATGGCTGGGCTCAGCAGAGGGGCATGACTTTGGTACACTGAGTAAGAAGGGCTTTTGGGCTCAGCCCAGCCTCAACATGCTGCTGTTCAAAGGAGAGATAGAGCTTCTGCCCCTTGGTTAGCTTCCCAAGGCTAACTTCTAGATAATTTTTTGTCCATTATTTTTATAAAGTACCTATCACCTTTTATATATGTAGCTTTAAGCCCCTTTAAGTTAAAACTCAGTGTACTGCTTTTAAAATTAGTATGAAACCTCCTAAGCTTGACTTACTTCACAGTAGGTTTTACATGTTTTGATTTTGCTAGGTTGTCAGGGAGCACGGCAGCAGTATCCTTAACTTCTGGCTTGAGGCTGCCTTGGGGCCAGAGCCATGTGGTTAGAACTTATTTTCTCTCTCTTGACCTCCTTTTATACATGGGGGCATTCTCAATAATGTTGGCATCCTTCGATAATAAATACCATTCATTTCTAGTCTGTTGCCAGATACTTTGATATAATTTTATTTAGGTTTTAAATCATGTATATTATTTCTTAGAAGAAATATTTTAATTCTTACATAATGTCAGATTATAATGTAAAGGTTTCTTTTGGCAAAGTAATATTTACATTTTGCTATCTGAAAAAGTGTAATAGGGTGAAGAAGTGGTGCTGTGAATCTTCTCTAAGACTTGATCCTCATGAAAGAATACTATAGAATATTATGTAGTGTACTATAAATTACATAAAAGGTAAACAAAGGTGACTGGTAAATTTAAACAGCTTATAAAAGCATTTCACTACTGTTCTTTTCACTGTTCAATAGGTAAACTTTTAGTCCATTTTAATGATAAATCTGAGGTAATGGTAATTATTTCCTTAAGGAAACCAAAAGACAAAGGATGAATGTCTAAGAGACTGTATTTTCTCTTGATGTTGTATTAAATACCTAATCAAACCTACCTCCTTATCAAAGGATGCAGGTCCCGTACACTTGAGTCTAGTCTGCCTTTCCAGCATTAGGCCTGAATGACTTCTTGGTAGTAGTGATTTCCAAAGAGCAGGGTCCTGAGTTTCTGCAAAGGAGCCACAGGATTCCTGTAGGATGAAGGAGGGAAAGGAAAACAAGGGCGCCGAGTCTGATGCTACTTTTTTGTCTGTTTTCTATTTTAGTACTTCACACAAGATTTCTTTTGGCAAAATAGTAATGCCCGCTGCTTTACATGAGCCATGTGTTCAGGACAGGACAGTCATAGCTTAACAAAACCTAAAGAATTCTCGAAAACACCTCACACTTTCACCAAACCTAGAACTGCTGAGAGCATATATGTACTTTTGTCCAGATTACAAAAAGCCCTTCCTTTGTGCTGGCTTTGAAATAGCAGCCCTCCCTCCACTTTGTACCAGGGCCAGTGCTGAATGAAGCAAGCCAAGGCTGTATTTAAGTCTGCTCATTCTCATAATGGCGTGTCTTTGTGCAGTGCACAAAACCCAGTGTATTTGGCAGCCCTCACTGCACCTTTCTTTCACTCTGTCTCTAACCTAGACACTCTTTTGAAGTCCTTATCCAATCTTAAAATAACAACTGAACTCTAAAAGTTAGCAAATTGATGTTAGAGATAAATTAAAGTTTCCACTTGCATCCTAAAATGCAATCACATAACTACGAAGGAAACCCAGGTCATTAGCAACAGTTATAAGTATTTAGGCAGTTTTGTTGACCATGATGTTTATGAAACACTATCATGATTGGAAATGGGGCAGCTCACGTTTTTTGAGGGTTGCATTTTAACAGAGATCTAGTAAGAAATAGGGGGAAGAGACTTTGTAGTCCTGTGTTGCGGTTGTTGGGCTAGAGCATTGGCTCTCCTGCACCTGGGGACTTGGTGAAAATGCAGATTCTAAATTTGAGGAAACACAGAGCCAGGGTATTCCTAAAAGAGCTCAGGCAGCATGGTAAAGGGAGGTCAGTCCACACCACATAAACTATATGGATTAAAGGAGTTGAGGGTGTTTAATGGAGAGAAGACCTTGAAAAGATTGAAGTTGTTTTCAATTCAATTTCTTCCATGTCTTTCTCTTCAAAAGGTAAAAGACGGCATGAGAGGAATTAGTGAGAGTTTCATTTATGACAAGCTTAGTAAATTATTCTTGCATGTCAATCTAGGCCTAGAGCCTACGTAGTGGAGACTTTATGAATGTGAGTCAAATAGTGAGCAGCAGAGGAGGAGGAATTTTGTTTTATGTAAATTGCTTTTCAAACCCATTCTGGCATTTAGATCCTATGTAGATATTCTTTTAAAATATGGGAGATAAATCTTCTGGATTTTTGGACAGTCCCAGAAGAAACATGTCACTGGTTTCACTGAGCAGTTTTGTCTTTCTGTATTGAGTAAAAATTTGTGTTTTAGTTAGTGGAAAAATAAATTCCATAATGCCTCTTCCCCCAAATACCCATTCAATAGGTTTCCGCATTACACAGCATAATCTTGATTGATGCATATATTTTCCCCCTTTATACTTAGCAAATATTTTCCTCCCATTTTTTTTAATCTCTAAAATATTAAATTTTCAATGTTCTACCATACTATAAATCACAAGCGGCCATGCTTTTTAAGAATAGATTAATCCCATCATGTTTTTTCATTAATTCTCAAACATTTATTACTATATAAATGTCTGTATTTTCAATTTGTATGTTTTAATCCTAAGTGAGGCCATAAAATTTTACTTTAATTAGTTTTTGAAGAATTTTTTTAACTTTATTGCTTTTCAAATTTTTCTTATCAGGGAGATAGTTGGTAATTTTGTACTCTCTGTGGTAATTGTGTTTTATATATCTCTTTCCATGGGAGCATTAATGCTTCCAGAGGTATAGCTTGCTACAGAAGCTGTGTTTACCCTATTCCTGAGCAATAGCTTCAGATTTACACTTAAGACAGAATATGGTAGACATTCAGAATTGAACTATATTTTTCTTGTGTGTGTTAATATTTTTAATCTACTTAGTAACTTTTTGAGAGAACTTGTCTAATGGAACAATATATCATACAATTATAGTCTGTTTATGCCTGAATTATATCCAGAATTTAATGTTTAGCCTTAGATTATTAGAAATATGTGACAAATCTATAAATTGCCCCTAGGGAAATCAAAAGACAATCTTCTAACCATTAATTTATATCAATGGCATTTAGAATGCAGAAAAACTAAAAGCAATTGGAGTATCTACATCTTTGAGAAATATCTAACATTTTTTTACATAGTATTTATCTTCTTGTTCCTTCCTAAAATGTTTCCTGAATCACTGAAAGCTCAAAACTTAAGACTCATTAAATTCGAGCAAGTTAAGTAGTCTTGCTTAGGTCAAGAAGTCTTCATCAAAGGTAGGGACAATTAGTGTACTCAAGTATGGGGGGAAGAATCACTAGTAATTTCAACCCTTGCCTCCCGCCATCTGGTCAAAAATTAGTAGAAATATTCCATGGTGTATATGTAGCACATCTTTTTGATCCAGTCATCTATTTTTGAGCATTTGGGTTGTTTCCAAAGCTTAGCTATTGTAAACTGTGCTGCTATAAACATAGGGGTGCAGGTGTTCTTTGGAATTGATGTTTCTGTGTCCTTTGGGTAAATACCTAGGAGTGGAATTGCTGGATCATATGGAAGCTCTATGTTTAGTAGGTCAGGAAATCTCCACACAGCTCTCCGTAGTGGTTGGACCAGTTTGCACTCCCACCAACAGTGCAGGAGAGTTCCTTTTTCTCCACATTCTCACCAACATTTGTTGTTGCTAGTTTTTTTAATATAAAGATAAACACATGCAATTTGCAGCAACATGGATGGCACTGGAAGGGATCATGCTCAGCGAAATAAGCCAGAAAAAAAGAAAAATACCAGATGGTCTCACTCATAGCAGGAATCTAGAAAACTTAAATAGGGACCAGGGAAATGAATAACTATAAGAAAGTGAAAATCAAAATCAACAAAAAACTATGAACCAGAGACACTCTATGGGGGGTGAGGAGGGGAGGGATTGGGGTCAAAATAAGGGGGTTGCAATTGTATGGGGAATATAAAAATGTGGAAAAAAATTAGAAATAGGCATGTATTTCTTTTAAACAATCAAATTGTGTATTCCTAAAGTCAAATGGAAGTTAAAATAAAGACATATAATCAGATCTCCCTTAATATTTCCAGTTTTAGTCTATGCTAGCCATTCAGATTTCACTGATTTTTGAATACATGAAGTATCTGAACCTGTCAGGATTTATTTTTGGTAACTATTACATGCAGTCTGTTTTCCAAGGAGTTTACTTAGTACCATGTATTAGGAGATTCAAAGATGACGATTGTAAGGTAAGATCCCCATCCTCAAAAGAGTGGTTCCTTGGGAGATACTGGTAGAAATAAAATAATATGATAAAGGATGAAATGGGGTTAGTGGCTAAATAAGTTATCGGTGAACCTAAGATAGAGGAGTAATGTGCAGCCATTCAAAAAAAGAAGATCAGTTAGGTTTATGATCCTAATGACTTGAGTACCACTGACAGTCATTCTCTGCCTTTAGTTCCAGTTAATATTGTAAGAAAATAAATCATTTTACTCTGTATTCAAAACTTAATTATAGCACCTTATTTGCACAGATTTCACACACATGAATTCCTTTAGTGATTGTCTACTGCTTAGAGAGATTGACTTGATAACTATTACAGGAATAATTCAAAGGTTTTTTTTTTTTCTTTTACAACAATGTCTGTTCATTGTACAGGGCAGATTAGTACATAAAATTAGTTTTCATCAACAATTTTGCAATTAAATTAGATCTGAAAAATTTATAAAATGAGTAGTGTATATTACTTAAAGAGTAAATCAGAAGAGCATATTTGAGCAAGTGATGAATAAATTAGAAATGGTTCATAAGTCATGAAATTATTTTTCTAATTTTTGAAAGATGTGATCTTTACAGAGAAATTTTTCTTTATTTTTAAGATCCCTTTTTTGACCCAGCAAGTGGCCAAGTTCCTTTGCCTCCTGCCAGGAGATTACCAGGTGAAAATGTCAAATCCAACAGAACATCACAGGACTATGATCACCTTCCTTCATCTTCAGGTGAGTGACTAATCATGGTAATTATACTTTGCATTTTGCTTATAAAGTTGGTAGTGAGAGGAATACCAGTTTTAATATTACCTTTCATTAGTCAGTAAAGGATACTAAATGTAGGGGGGAGAGGAAAAAATATTCATTCTCTTTTGTTTTGCCTAATTAGCTATGAGAAGTGGGAGAAATCTTTTTAGAATATTTTCACCAAACTATTAATTTCCATAATTTATTTAGTGCTACCAGGAGTGTTCCACTATCAGCCAGTAAGTGAGGAGTATACTGATTTAGTCACTGCAAGTCATATTCACCAGTAATGAACTTCTGCTTTCTCCAGAGGCCTTCCTGGCCACCATATCTTACGTAATTCACCATTGCTAGTCTTTCTGGACCTGAGTGATCAAATAGGCCTGATTATTACAGCAGGTCTCAGCTGGCTGTAACATCAAATATTTCAAACTTCTCCCTGAACTCTTTACAAAAAAAGTCAAATCACAGACATAAGGTACTTTTTTCTAGCATGATCTCGCTCACAAGGATGCCAGGCTGTCCACTAGTTTATTTCACACCAGCAAAGGGACTGGATTAGCTCTTCCCACCAGTAACCCAAGACTGGGTGTTGTGTCCCTAGGATTCTAAGAGCCCTCATAAATAAAAACTCATTACAATAAGATGAAATTCAATTTCACATATCTTTTCTGTTGAAAAAATATTTTTAAAGAATTCAGAATTACCTTGTTCCTATCCTCTTACCTAAAAAGGTATATATGAATGTATATATGTCTACATATACAGAGGCTTCCAAATATTTTTTATCCCTCTGCCCAAAGTTATATGTACTGAAATACATGACTATTACTATGTTATTTCAAATAGACCTGACTATTGACTAGTAGTTTTCACAAAATTTCCAGTTTTTCTCTTGTAAAATATCATGTGTTACAGTTTGAATACCCTTCAGAAACCCAGGGACTACAACTTACATATAATAACAAAGTCATAATGCAGATGTGTTTGTACTGATAACATGCAACATTACCTCTTGATAAGAGATTTTTCGTATTATGAGGATTTAAAAGGCAATTCAAGGTAAACAATTGAAAATAATGCTAGAATTTCAGAACATAAAGAGTTAAATATGTATAGCTAGTAAACGATGTTGTTGTCAACAAAATAAGGGAGATCTCCCTTATTAGTTAAAATGAAAATGGACTAATACATTTATTCTGCATTAAAATCCAGTTGGAAATGAGGCTAATAATCACCAATCCATCCAGAACTTTTTCTCTCAGTACTCATTTCCTTAGAATACAAGAGTCAAGTTTTACCCTAAACCAGTACTTCTCAAATCTTTCTCCCAACGGAGTTAAGTGACAACACAGGGACCAGTTTAGCTAAAAGTAGACAACTGCATGCAGAAAATTGATGCACAGTCTGTTTGATCTCAAATTTATGCTAATTTTAGTATTTATCCCTTGGTATCATTCTTCATTTAAATACTGAAAAAATTTTCCCACATCCTGAGTAAAATTGATGCTCCAGGAGTATGTACTACTCATTGGGTTGTCGGAAAAGTCATGATGCATTTTTGCTTGAAAAACAAAAAATATGTCATGACTTTTTGGACAACCCAGTATCTCATGGCTCCACATATTCTTGCACTTATTTTGACATTTAGCATTACTCAAAGGGATTCAAAATCCCACAAGCATAGACAGCTTGTGAATACCAGTGAATGTCTGTCCTTCCAATAATTTAAGGATGGTATTTATTCAAGTATAGAAATTCCCAGAGTTGGTGTGTGAAAGGTTCGGCGTGGTAAAGAAAAGGAGAGCCAGGCTAAATTTCTCGAAGGGGGCGGAAATATATTGTGCCCTGCGTGGGATTCACGGACCAAAGGTAGGGAGGGGTTGGTGAAGCCATGCACGTTGCCAGGGGGAGGCAGGCTTTTATAGGGTGAGGAGAGGTCAGGTGGGAAACTGGGTTTGCACGGCAGGAAAAAGTTTGTAGGAAGCAAGAAGATTTGTAGGGCGGGGAGAGGTTCATTGTCTGATTTTTCTAGGCAGGCTTCCTGTGGGCTTTTGCATTCCGGCCTCCCGTATCGACCTTTCAATAAGATTAATAGTATAACTTTTGAGGTACTATGAGATAGGTTCACCTTCTGTTTCCTAGCTCCATTCCAGGGCCCTGCACTAGAGAAAGTAAATAAAGACTTGGTTTATCTCCTACCTTTTTTTTTTTTTTTTTTTAAATATTAAATTTTATTTTATATTCCCCCATACAATTGCAAACGCCCCATTCTGACCCCAATCCTTCCCCTCCCGCCCCCCACCCCCCAAAAAGTGTCTCTGGTTCATAGTTTTTTGTTGATTTTGATTTTCACTTTCTTATATTCATTTTCCTGGTCCCTTATTTAAGTTTTCTAGATTCCTGCTATGAGTGAGACCATCCGGTATTTTCTTTTTCTTTTGGCTTATTTCGCTGAGCATGATCCCTTCCAGTGCCATCCATGTTGCTGCAAATTGCATGTGTTTATCTTTTTTGAATGCTGAGTAATATTCCATGGTATATATGTACCACATCTTCTTGATCCAGTCATCTATTTTTGGGCATTTGGGTTGTTTCCAAAGCTTAGCTATTGTAAACAGTGCTGCTATAAACATAGGAGTGCAGGTGCTCTTTGGAATTGATGTTTCTGTGTCCTTTGGGTAAATACCTAGGAGTGGAATTGCTGGATCATATGGAAGCTCTATGTTTAGTAGGTCCAGAAATCTCCACACAGCTCTCCATAGTGGTTGGACCAGTTTGCACTCCCACCAACAGTGCACAAGAGTTCCTTTTTCTCCACATCCTCGCCAACATTTGTTGTTGCTAGTTTTTTTTAATATGTGCCATTCTCACTGGTGTAAGATGGTATCTCATGGTAGTTTTGATTTGCATTTCCCTGATTACAAGTGATGTTGAACATTTTTTCATATGTCTGTTGGCCATTTGCATTTCCTCTTCAGAGAAGTTTCTTTTTAGCTCTTCTGCCCATTTTTTGACTGGATTATTTTCTTTGTTGTTGCTGAGTCTCATCAGCTCTTTGCAGATTTTTGTGATCAGTCCTTTATCATTAGTGTTGGGTGCAAAAATGTTCTCCCAGTTGGTGGGGTTTCTCTTTGTTTTTGTTATTGTCTCTTTTGCTGTGCAGAAGCTCTTTAATTTGATGTAGTCCCAGCTGTTTATCTTTCTCTTCACTATCACTGCTTTGGGTGATGTGTCTGTAAAGATGTCTTTGATGTGCATATCACGTAGTGTTTCCCCCATATTTCCTTCTTTGTATTTTATGGTTTCAGGTCTTATGTCTAGTTCTTTAATCCATTTTGAGTTGATTTTTGTGTATGGTGTGAGGTAGTGGTCAAGCTTCATTCTTTTGCATGTAGCAACCCAGTTTTCCCAGCACCATTTATTGAACAAACTTTCTTTGCTCCAATGCATAGTCTTTGCTCCTTTGTCAAAGATTAGTTGACCATAAATCTGTGGGTTTATTTCTGGATTTTCTATTCGATTCCATTGGTCTGTATGTCTGTTCTTGTTCCAATACCATGCAGTTTTGATGATTATGGCTTTGTAGTATAGTTTGAAGTCTGGGAGTGTGATGCCTCCATTTCCTTCTTTTTTTTTCAGTAGAGCTTTGGCTATTCGGGGTTTTTGGTGATTCCATATGAATTTCATCAATAATTGTTCTATTTCTTTGAAGAATGCCATTGAGATTTTGATTGGAATAGCATTGAATCTGTATATTGCTTTTGGTAGGATGGCCATTTTAATAATGTTTATTCTTCCAATCCATGAGCAGGGGATGTCTTTCCATTTCTTTGTGTCTTCTTCTATTTCTTTTAACAGTGTTTTATAGTTTTCTTTGTATAGGTCCTTTACCTCTTTTGTTAGATTTATTCCCAAATATTTGATTTTTTTTGTTTCGATAATAAAAGGGGTGGTTTTTTTGATTTCTTCTTCTTCAGATTTATTGTTTGTGTATAGGAAGGCTACTGACTTTTGCGTGTTGATTTTGTATCCTGCCACTTTACTGAATTGATTGATGAGTTGAATTAGTTTTTCTGTGGAGATTTGGGGTTCTCTATGTATATTATCATATCATCTGCAAATAGTGATAGTTTGACTTCTTCTTTTCCTATTTGGATTCCTTGGATGTCTTTCTCTTGTCTTATTGCTCTGGCTAGGACTTCCAGTATTATATTGAAAAGCAGTGGTGAGAGTGGACATCCTTGTCTTGTTCCAGATCTTAATGGAATTGCTTTCAGCTTTTCACCATTGAGAATGATACTGGCTGTTGGCTTGTCATAGATGGCCTTTATGAAGTTGAGGTATGTTCCTTGTATCCCAAGAATTTCAAGGGCTTTTATCATGAATGGGTGTTGCACTTTGTCGAAAGCTTTCTCAGCATCTATTGATATTATCATATGGTTTTTATATTTCTTTTTGTTGATGTGTTGGATAACGTTGATTGATTTTCGGATGTTAAACCATCCTTGTGCCCCTGGAATGAATCCAACTTGGTCGTGGTGAATTATCTTATGGATACATTGTTGGATTCTGATAGCTAAAATTTTATTGAGGATTTTTGCATCAGTGTTCATTAGGGAGATTGGCCTATAGTTTTCCTTTTTTGTGTTGTCCTTATTCAGTTTTGGTATTAGTGTAATATTGGCTTCATAGAACGTGTTTGGTATTGTCCCTTCCTTCTCAATTTTTTGGAAGAGTTTGTGAAGGATAGGCACTAATTCGTCTCTGAATGTTTGGTAGAATTCATTTGTAAATCCATCAGGTCCTGGGCTTTTGTTTTGGGGAGGTTTTTGATTACCATTTCAATTTCGCTGCTTGTAATTGGTCTGTTTAGGTGTTCTATTTCTTCTTTATCTAGCTTTGGGTGATTGTAGAGTTGTAGGAATTTGTCCATCTCCTCTAGATTGTTGAACTTGTTTCCATATAACTGTTCATAGTAG